CAGAAAGATGTTTACCTGTGCTATATTGACTACACAAAAGCTTTCGACTGTATGGATCAGGACAAGCTATGGACAACATTGCAAAGTATGAGTATTCCGGTACATTTAACTGTGCTCATGAGGAACCTGTGCATAGAAAAAGAGGCAGTTGCTCAAGCAGAACAAGGAACACCAAGTTGTTCAAAATTAAGAAAGGTGTGTGACAGGGTTGTATTCTTTCACCATACTTATTTAATCTGTATGCTTAGCAAATAATCTGAGAAACTGGATTATATGAAGAAAAATATGACAACAGGATTGGAAGAAGACTCATTAACAACCTGCGATATGCAAATTATACAACTTTGCTTGCTGAAAGTAAAGAGGACTTAAAATACTTACTGATGAAGATCAAAGACCACATCCTTTGGTATGGATTGCATCTCAATGTAAAGAAAACAAAAATCCTCACCACTGGACCAATAAATAACATCCTTATCAATGGAGACAATATTAAAGTTGTCGAAGACTTAATTTTGCTCAGACCAACATCAACACTCACGGAAGCAGCAGTCAAGAAATCAAACCATATATTGCATTAGGCAAATCTGTTGCACAAGACCTTTTTAAAGTGCTGAAGAGCAAAGATGTCAGTTTCAGGACTAAGGTGTGCCAGACCAATTCACGGTATTTTCAATAACCTCATATTTGTGTGAAAGTTGGACAGTGAATAAGGAAGACTATAGAAGAATGCATGCATTTGAGTTATGATATTGGAGAATATTGAAAAGTGCCATGGACTGCCAAAAGAACAAATAGATCTGTGTTGGAAGAAGTACAGCCAGAGTGCTCCTTGGAAGCCAGAATGGCCAGACTTCATCTCTTATACTTGGGGCATACTGTCAGAGGGACCAGTCAATGGAGAAGAATATCATGTTTGTTAAAGTGAAGTGTCCGAGAAAAATAAGAAGAACCCCAGCACAGTGGCACAGTGGTAGCATCAATAGGCTCAAACATAGCAACGATTGTGAGGTTGTACACAGGGTTGCTATGAGTCCATAACAACTTGATGGCACCTAACAACAATGACAAATGCTTCACCACATTCATAGTTGTATTTGCAGGAAAGGTAAATACTAATGTACAAATAATCTTTTTCAAACTCTTACATATTTGTGATATATAAGTATGGACTCTTGGTGTGCTACTGTAGGATAAGCATTGGGCTGTGAACCACAAAGTCAGCAGTTCAAACCTACCAGCTACTCTGTGGAAACCCTGTACAGGGTCACTGAGTCGGAATTGACTCAATGGCACTTAACAACAACATATATATGCCACTCTTCCTCCGATATACATTCAGGATGTGTCTCTATGTATCTACCCACAGACCATTGTTGTTTCTAGGTTGTGTATCTATCACTTGTTGTTTTATTAAAGTTTTTATGGTGAGTTGGGTGAAAGTTTAGATGGCAGATCATCAGTCTTACATTCAACAAACTGTACACCTTGTTTCATTACAATGATTATAATCCCCTCCATGTACCATCAGTTAACAGTATTTCTCTCTATTCACTTTAGCCTTTTTTTTTTTTTTTTTTAAACACTCAGACATATATCATAATTTAAACCACCAAAGGGACGTTATGCAAGTCTGCCTCATGGTTGCCAGCTCTTAGTCCCTCTCTTTCCATGAATCTACAGTCCTCAGCTGCTCCCTCTCTCCATGTCCCCATCTTTGCCTCCGTCTCTGGTATCGCTGCTTCTCTGTATAAGGTCTCACATTTCACTTTGCTCTTCTACCTTGATGGTCCTAGGGTCCTCTGTTTCTGGAATGTAAGATTACCTATTCCCTTGTTTTTGTTACAAAACTTCTACCTTTACAAATGTGACAGTTCCAATTAGTCATAGTAACTATTACTTGCTATTGAATCATAAGAATGTTATCTCCATCTCTTTTTACCAGACCCATCTAGACAAGATGAAAACTATTCAGTGGGGACTCTATCTTCCTCCACATAATCTTAAACTAAACTCCCTCTTGAAACCTTGTAAGCCAGTCACTTTGTGCCTTTATCACCCCCTCATTTTAGGTAGCCAATGTCTAGGTTGCCCGTCCCTATCTACCCTGTATACAGAGGGGATAGCATTGATACTTGATGTGAAGACTCCTTCCCTCTCTGATATTTAGAGTTACTACCTCCATGAGTATAGGTCAGGTTCATCAAATTGTACCAATTACCCTCACTTCCTTTATCAAAAATTATTTGTTTGTTTTTTTATCTTCCTTTAGTTGAGTTCTGATTATCAAGCCATCAAGGCTAGGTCAAATGGGTAGTATATATCACTTTTTATCTCTATTCCCTTGACCGCTTGCGCACCTCCCTGTCTCCACCTGTCTTCATCATTCTTCTGCCAACCTCCCTTTTCTTGCATATTTTCCTTCCCATCTACCCTCTAACCAGTGAATTACTCTTCCTTCCCTCCTACCCCTAGTACCATCTAGGAATATTTCTTTTAGTATGAAAATCTTTTCTTGAGTTTTTTCAATAGTGATCTCATACAATATCTGTCCTTTTGTGATTGACTAATTTCACTCAGTATAATTGCTGCGTCCAAGAGTGCTGATAGTGCCTCCAAGTAAAATGAAAAAGAGTATGATGAGGATTTGAACTTTAACTAGTTTCTGTGTTACTATCTTCAGGATCTACAGATTCCTGCTGCCACACCCTTTGTTCTTATAGCTCTAGAAAAATATATGAAAGGATATGAATGGAGAAGCCCTTGGATTAGATACAAGAATAAACTTTCTTACCTAAAAGGTAGTAGAATTTTGTGTCTGTAATGAAAAGTAGGATTCTCCATAACTATATAAATGACATTTATCTTCAAGTCAGATTTACTTCATATTCTAAACGTTTAGAGAATTAGTCTAATGACAAGACTGCAACTTTACCTTCTGATTACCTGGAGTACTTGGGAAAATACACATGTTGGGTCCCTCAGGCCCAATGACCAGACACTTCCATAGAAGAGTCTAGGAATCTATATTTTTAACACACAACCCAAGTGATTTCTTAATCAGGGAAGTTTGAAAAAACAATTTACAATAACCCTAGGGAGGAAATGAAGAAAGGAAATTGGTAAGACTTCTGAATCATACGTACCTCATGACTGAGTTAGGAAAGCTAGACTTTTAGGGTAGAAGGTGCAATTAGAGCTAGAGCTAGTATTCTCAGCACCATTTTGCAGTCACTCAAAGCTTGTTCTGGGCCCTGCCTCACTCTAGCTCTTTTTCTTCCACACACTTAAACTGTCTTTATCACAAGACTTGGCCATAGACTCCCAGATAGATCTTAGGCTACCGATGGAATCCAAGAGAGAATGGGACTGTTCCCAAGTACATGGTTAGTACTGCAGTCCCTGGATATAAAAGATAAGACTGACAACTAGTCTGGTGTCAGTCCTACAGACACATTGAGTATCCCTATCCCATCACTTACCCAAATTGGAAAGCCTGTTCATCAAGCCAGCTTCTCTTACAGCAGTGGGGCCATATTCCACTCCTTTTCTTTTCTGTCATAAAAATTACACAGTTAGATGTAAGGGCAAGATGAATTGTGTGTGTGTGTGTGTGTGTGTGTATACACAAACTACTTTTGTCCACAAAAACTCATTAATCTGAATGTTCAATTCTCAAAAGATTCAGATAAAGCACCTTCAGCCTTCCATGTATTGCTTCTGTTTCTAAAGTCTGTTGGCTTTATCCGACACTTGCAGGATAAGCTGACACCAAGGAGGACAATACAAGTCCATCACTGGAACCAAATCAATCTTTCAAGTACCTCCTTGGGAAAGGGATGAACAGGTGTCAAGGCAGGGGGTTGCTGAGCCCAGATCAGGGTGTGCTGGAGCTGTAGAGTTCAGCCTTCTAGGTCAGAAGGCATTGAAGCCAGAACAAAGCAACCCTCCCACCCTCCCCTCCAGCGGCTGAAAGGCAAGCTTCAATATCCTTCCCAGTTAAAGCGCTTTCTGAGAAAATGGGTCCTGAAATCTTAAATCCTTTAATCTTTTCTCCCGAGATTTTCAGGCCGTTTTTTCCACCTCCAGCTAGTCTGTTTGGACTCCTGGTGTGGCGCTGTAGGTTAATGTGCTGCACTGCAAAATCAATTTGAACTGCAAGGTCGGTGGTTGAAGCTCATCAGCCACTCCTCAGAAACCCTATACAAGGTCGCTGTGGGTCGGAACCCACTCAACGGCACTTAGCAACAGTAGCCCCTCTATAGAATTCTCTCCCTTCTTCCCTTCCCTCCACCACACCAAGGACCCACGGCCTTCTTGCTCTTTCTGAGGAGGCCGCAGAAACCCGCCAGTTCTTTGTCCCTTGCCCTCATTCCATACAGGGGGCCCTCTACACCATCTTTCCCTCCCATCTTCTTTCGGAGGTCACCCCACGTGCTCTCCGGGTGCCCAGTCGACGGTATCCATCTGTTTCCCCATGTCCATCCATCCCCACCTACCCGCTTTCTTCAGACTCTAAGGAGCGGAGACCCCGCCCCATGAGCCGGTCCCAGATCTCACCTGTCCCTGTGCAAATGGGGCTCCTACCACAGCCACTGAGTGGGCGGATTTCTTCCAGATGAAGTGCAGTCTAGTCGGGAGAACACGCAAGAGGCTGCTCCTCAGAGACATGATGGGGATCTGCTCCGAGCGCAAGCAGCCTCCAGTGAGCTCCGCCGGCCGCAGTGGCTCTCAGAGCCCCGCGCCTGCGGCCCCTCCCCGTGACGTAGCTCCAGGGAACACGCTGCCGCGCCCCCTGCCAGCCCCCAACACACCTTCCCGGCGGCCCCGGACACTCCCTCGCTGACGTCACGCCGCCTGCCAGGCTTCAAGGCTCTGCTCCAGGAAGCGCCTCCACGCAGAGGCTACTAGGTGCATGGTGGAGTCTGTCAACTAAGCGGCTTGCAGGCGACGCCGGTCAGACACATGCACACCCGACATGTGCTGACTCTAGTACCAAAGGGCTCGCTGGCCGGCTCCGAGGGACTGCCCTGTTCGGACTAGCTGGCATCCATCCGCGGGACAGCTCAAAGCTCAAGGTCCAGAAAACACTCTTATCCTACCTTTGGGCGTCGAAGGTTAGACGATCCAATATAGACCACACCCCTCTGGACCGGACTTTTCACTGAGACCCACTGATTTTAAGTATATGGAGTAGGAAGATTTCAGTTTAGCTGAATAACCGAAGTTCTGGTGGGGCACTGTGGGTTAATGCGCTCAACAGCAAGGTCGGTGGTTCAAACCCACCAGCTGCTCCTCGGAAACCCTATACGGGGTCACTATGAGTCAGAACTTAACAGTTATAAAAAGGCAAACATTTAAACATTTTTTTGAATCTTTAAAATTTTAGAGAAATGGAAAAAGTTGAAAATGCTAATTACTTAGAATTTAACTAGCAATGACTACTTTTAAATAATAGTGGTAGTGATGTGCCGTAGAGTCGGTTTGTACTCAGCGAAAAAATAGTGGCCAACTAAAAATTTAAGAACGTTAACTTTTAATAACATAGTGTAAGGTCGAGTTACTCTATACTCCAAGCAATGGACTGCGAACCACAAAGTCGGTGGTTCGAGCCCTCCAGCTGCTCTGGGAGAAAGATGAGGCTTCCTGCTCCCACAAAGATATAAAGCCTCAGAAACCATATACAGGGTCTCCAGAAGTCGGAAACGGCTTTACGACACTTAACAAGAAAATTCCAAAGATTAGGAAATGAGATCAAAGAACATAAATAACTTTCCCACAGTCATTTAGCTAGCAGATTCATCGATTCCAAGTTCTTTCCTTTCAAAGAGGAAAATTCATAGCAGACATCTTACTTTGATTTTAGGGCTTTTCTTACCCATGAAACCAAATATTAATCATAAAAATTCTTGACCAAATCTTGCCAGGTTTTTTGCTTTTTGGGGTTTTTTTTTTGGTGGTGACATTGTGTTTTTTACCCAAATTTCTAATCTTTTCTTTCCGCTTGGAAGCCAGGATTATTTAATATAAATACCAAAGGAACTCATAAATGTAGGTGTGTGGAGGATCAGAGACCATCTTGTGATTAGATACCAGTTCATCTCAGTATTAGTAAAAGGGGAAGGGCAGGGTTCAATCAATCATGCTAAAATTCCACAATCTTTGCTCTTCTATTCCCCTTCCTTTTCTTTTTATAAGACGCATTGTAACTAGCCTACTTCATGTCATTTGCTTTAAAACAAACAAACAACAATAACTAAAAAACCAGAATGGTCTCCCTATATGCTATAGAATAACTGCTCAAAATAAATCTCATGTTTCAATTTCTTTTGAGTTTTGATTATTTTTAACAACACTGTATGCTCATGCAGAACCTGTACATAGACCAAAAGTCAGTCATTCAAACAGAACAAGGGGATGCTACATTGTTTAAAATCAGAAAATGACATACAAAGGTGTATGTCAGGATTATAGCTATATGCTGCACAAATAATCCACAAAACAACTATATGAAGAAGAGCACAGCATTAGGATTGAAGGAAGACTCAGTAACAAATTTTGAAAGATATGCAGATGACGCAACCTGGCTTCCAGTATGTGAAGAGAACTTGAAGTAGTTACAAATTAAAATAAAAAAACTATAGCCTTTAAAAAACCCTCAGAATTGGAGTATCAGTAAGTATCATCATGATAAACAGAGAAAGCATTGAAATTGTCAAGGCTTTTGTTTTACTTAGGTCTGCAATCAACACCCATGGAAGCAGCATTTAAAAAAAAAAAAATCAAAGAATGTATCATGAGGAACCTGTACGAAGACCAAGAGGCAATCATTTGGACAGAGCAAGGGGATGCTGAATGATTTAAAATCAGGAAATGTGTGCACCAGGGTTGTATTATTTTACCATACTTACTTAATCTGTATGCTGAGAAAATAATCTGAGAAACTGGATTATATGAAGAGAGCATGACATCAGGATTAGAGGAAGACTCATTAACAACTTGTGATCTGTAGATGATACAATCTTGCTTGCTGAAAGTGAAGAGGACTTTAAATACTGATGGTGCTCTAAGATGACAACTTTCAGTATGGATTGCACCTCAGTGTAAAGGAAACAAAAATCTTCACCAGGGGACCAATAAATAGCACTATGATAAATGGAGAAAAGAAAAAAATAAATCAAAGGACTTATTACACTGGAAAAATATGTTGCAAAAGTCCTCTTTAAATGTTAATAAGCAATGATGCCACTTTGAGGACTAAGATGTGCCTGACTTCAGTCATGTATCATAGATTGAAATCACACCCCCCCCCAAAAAATATATATATGTGTGTGTGTGTGTGTGTGTGTGTGTGTGTGTGTGTGTGTCAGCTGGGCTGGGTCATGATTCTCAGTGGTTTGGCAGTCATAATGATATAATGTAGCAGTTATATGATGATTCTCTAAAATGTAAGCTGATGTAATAAACCAATAAAAGAATTAAGGGTGGGTTGTATGCAATACCCTTAATCCCATTACAACCCTGATCTGATCTAAAGGAGCTTCCCAGGGGTGTGACCTCCAACATCTTTTATCTTACAAAGGAAGATGAGAGAGAGTAAGCAAAGAAAGAGGGACCTGTTATCACCAAGAAAGAAGAGCCAGGAGTGCAGTGTATTCTTTGGGTCTGTGGTCCCTGCACTGTGAAGCTCCTATATTCAGGGGATGGTTGATGTCAAAATGCAGGGAAATCTCCAAGGATGGTTGGCATATAGATGTTAAAAGGAGACAAAGACCTTTCCCCAGAGCTTAGAAAGAAAGTCTTAGCTATTCTGGCACGCAGAATTTGGACTTTTAGCCTCCTAAACTGTGAAATGGAATACTGGTGTAGTGCTTATAGGATAAGCTCTGGACCGCAAGGTCAGTTTGAACTGCGAGGTTGACCTATACAGGGTCCCTACAAGTTGGAACTGACTCAACAGTACTTAATAACAACAAACTGAAATGGAATCCTGGTGTGACTCTCTAGGATAAGTACTGGACTGCTAACTCAAGGGTAGTAGTTCAAACCCTCCAGTTGTTCCTCAGCAACCCTATACAGGGTTGCTAGGAGTCAGAACCAACTGGACATTGCTTAACAACAACAAAACTAGGAAAATTGGAAGTTTTCAAAAATGAAATGGAACATGCAAACATCGATATTCTAGGTAGGCACCAGTGAGCTGAAATGGACTGGTACTGCCCATTTTGAATCTGACAATCACATAGTTTACTATGCCAGGAATGACAAACTGAAGAGGAATGGCATCGCATTCATCATCAAAAAGAACATATCAAGATCAGCCATGAAATACAACACTGTCTGTGATAGGATAATATTTACACGCCTACAAGGAAGAGCCATTAATATCACTATTATTCAAATTTACACACCAAACACTAAAATTAGTGATGATGAAATTGAAGAATTCTACCAACTTCTTCAGTCTGAAACTGATCAAATATGCAATCAAGAAGAAATAATTACTGGCAATTGGAATGCAAAGGTTGGAAACGAAGGATCGGTAGATGGAAATACCACCTTGGTGATAGAAATGATCCTGAAGATCGCATGATAGAATTTTTTTTTTAAGTTTTTATTGTGAGGTTTACATGGGAAAACATCAGCTTTACACTCACCCTATCGTATTTCATTTCATTGTAATGATTACAGTCCCCTCCATGCATCATCATATAACCCCAAAGGGTACACCACACAGGTCCCCCTACCACCACCACCCCCAGCCACCAGCACACAGCCCTTTTCCTGCCCTGAGTCCAGTGTCCCCAGCCACTCCATCTGTCCACATCATCATCTCTGTCTCCATCCTTGGCGTCACTGCCTCTCTGGGTAGGGTCCTGCTCTCCATTCTTTTCACTTGATGGTCCCAGGAACCTCTGTTCCTGGGCTGCAAAATCAATCACTCTCCTCTTTTTGTCTAAAAACATCGACCTCTATATTTCCTAGCCTCACAGTCTCAGACCTGATGGCAATTATTCACTATTGTACCACACGAGTCTTATCCCCATTTCCTTTCACCAGCCCAGTCCCAATGGATTGGAAA